CATGTAGTCTAAGATAGCTTTGGGGCTAGCGAGATAGCTCAGCTTTCTAAAGCGCCTGCTTAGGCAAGCTTAGGCAAAGTGCAGGGACCATGGTTCTATTCCCCGGCATTACATGCCACTCCAGCCCCACTCCAGGATGGGCTGAGCCAGGCACAAAAAAATAGATAAGTAAATAATAAGATGGCCTCATGTTCACAGTGATGATCCTGCCTCAGCTATCCAAGCGCTGGGATTGCAGCCAAGCACCATCACATCCGGCAGCAATGTGCCTTTATATAGCTTATCATAACAAAAGGTTTCAGCCAGCATTGGCTGAGGCTGCCTTTTTCCACTGCCAATGCTCTACCCTACCTCTAAACTTTGCATCAGATGGAATTTAAAGCGCCATAAACACTTTTAGGATTTGGCAAAAGAGAAGCATCAGGATACATTTCATTAGAATGCATTGGGACTTATTAACATGGCTTGAGACCCCTGGAAGGCCTTGTATGGTTAAGTTATTGCCGGCCATTGTTGCGTAATTTTGGCTTCCAGAAACACTCCTGCTACTGCTGTGCCAACTCATCTGATGTTGTAACACATAGGTGCAGGACCACAGGTGGCACTGTGAGGTCATGTGTTGCCCAACACCTGGCACTCAGTGTGTATGGGCGGTGATTGAAAAAGAAGATTAAGAATGTACGGAGCCAGAAGCTATCTGTGGAAAAGGTGACATGCACAATCAGTAAAGATCTGGTTCTCACTGATGTCTAGGCAAAATGGAAGTGTCCTATCAGGAATGTATTTTTGCCAAGTGTGGTGACACAAGCCTAAACTCCCAATTGCTTGGGAGACTGAGACAAGAAGATTGCAAATTGTAACCTAGCAACTTACTGAAACTCTGTCTCAAAATAAAACTAAAAAGGGAAGGAACTCTAAGTTGGTAAGGGCCCAGCAGTACAAAGTTCTGGATTCAATCCCCAGTACCCCCACCAACACACACACACACACACACACACACACACACACACACACACACACAGAAGCTCTACTTACTCTAGTGCATGCATACTTACAAATGCACCACGCATTTTAAAAGCTTTTGATAAGAATTGTGCACAACGGAATTTGCCAGAACTCCTGTATTTGTGGGGTCCGAGTCTATGTATGAAGTCATAACACATCCCAACTAGCAATAATAAATTGGACTAACTCACCCTAGGAGGATGGCTGAATTAAGTTTCCTTCTCACTCCAAAATAATGATGATTAAAGAGTATAAAATCATAAACACAAGGGTAGGATAGATAATTTATGTCAGAGAGCTACATAAGAAAAACGTATCATGCTATTGTTTAGAATTTGTGATCTTCATTGGGTTTTTGCAATTTGTGATATGAAATGACTATCTTTTTTTGTATAAATAAATGTCTCCTTTTTAAAATGGTTCTGGAGTCCTCTCTTGTGAGTCTTTAACAAGGTATGATAAAAAATTCAGCGAAAGCCACTGTGCTATCGAATTCGAAGGCGGGCTTATACACAACATCACAGTGTGTTCTCATGAACCATTTTCACCTGATGGGGCATCACCAACATGACCAGGAAGGGCAAACGTTTCGAATGGATTCAGGACATCAAGGCAATCATGACAATGCAATATACTTTTCTGCTCTCTTTCTTAAAGAGACTCCAAAACCTTAACAAGCTTACGGCTCCCAAACCTGGATCTGTCCTTGGACAACTAAAGGGAGTTTAAGAAAGGAAATTGGTGGACAAACATGCTCAGCATGAGGGAATGGAATACGACCCATGGAGGGGAATTTACCAAGAAGGCAGTAGCGCAAAGATTCCTGGGTAAGATCCTGGAGAACTGAGTGGGGCAGAGTTGCAGCAAGAAATGTGAAGAGAAGTTTGTGGCACTGAGGGCAGGGGCTCTGAGCACACTTTCTAGCCTTCACAGTCCTTCCCAGGCCATCTCTTGAATCAGAGGATGGTCTTCTACTTGGGCTGAATTTAGCAGCCGATCTTGCAAGCAGCGCATGATGGTGTGAAACCTCCGCAGATGATTCTACTGATTACAGAACTGATGACCTCAGTGATACTGTCAGAGAGCAGGGCCAGCGAGGAGGGATGGTTGTAAAATATGATGAATGTTTAAAATGTTTAAAGTATAATAGTAAAAGATATATTACCTTTAAGCCTCCCTGAAGTACTCCCCCCTTGCTTTGAGTACGCTCATTGCATCGTTCTCGCCACTTTCTGAAGCGGTCTAGATGTCCTCGCCTGTGGGTGTCTTTAATTGAATTGTCATGGCTGCCTTGATGTCTTGAATTGATTCAAAACATTTACCCTTCCTGATCATGTTAAATTCTTTTAAAATTGTTATATTTATTCTTTCGATACACTCTCTCACTATGCAGTTTGGACTCATAGTGATCCTCCTGTCTCAGCCTCCCCAGCACTGGGATTACAGGCATGTGCCACCAAGCCCGGTATCTGGGGTCAGCACAGCATGCAATACCAGGGATCCCGCAAACAAGACCTTGCACTGGCCAGGCAGCGCTTAGACCACCAAGCTGTCTCCCCAGCCCCTTCCGGGTCATGTGGGTGGTGCCGGCTCAGATGAAAACGGTTCATGAGAGCACACTCTGATGTTATACAAATCCTCCTTTGTATTTGATAGCACAGTGGCATTCACTGTATTTTTTATCATGCCTTGTAAAGACAATCACAAAACAGGACTCCCAGAACTCCTTCAGAAAGTGGTCAGAGCAATGGATTAGTGTGTTCTGAGCAAGGGGGAGTATTCTGAGGGGGTTAAGGGCAATATGTCCTTTACTGTAATTTTTTTTTTTAAGGGAAGGGTCTACAGGGTGTTCAGGGTCTTACTACTAGATAGGACTCATAGTGATCCACCTGTTTACAGCCTCCCAAGTGCTCGGATTATAGGAGCATGCCACCATGCCCAGTCTCAATCAATGTCTCAGTGTGCTCCGTGGGCGGGGCCGGCACGGCAGGCCCAGGAATGGAAACCCTGGCCCCTGCGTCTGCTTACATGTGCTTTAATCCGCTGAGCTATTTGGCTGGCCCCTACTGTAATAATTTTTAAAATTGAAACATTCGCGCTATACTTTAATCACCCTTTCTACACCTGTGACTTTATTTCACATGTCCCAAACCACATTACTAACTCAGTGAGCATCTACACCTAGAGAAGAAATCCTAGAGAAGAATTCCTCTTCACTTCAATGGGAACATGAGTGTCGGCCTTATGACTCTAGCGGGTCCAGAGGGGGGCACGAGACCCCAGCTGGGCCAACCAGAGCTCTTCCCTGGAATTTTCAAATGTGTACCTACCTAGATCAGCACCCTGTCCCTTATGGGCGATAAGTACTTGGCTGCTCAGCACTCCTGTCTAACTGCATTAATTTTGTGACAACTTGGCCGGGTCAAGAGGTACCCAGACAGCCGGTAAACCAGTCATGGATGTATCTGTGACAGTGTTTCCAGAAGAGAGTTGGCTGAGTAGAGGAGATCTGCACTGGTGTGGGTCGGATTCAGCCTACCTGTTGAGGATCCGAATAGAACAAAATGTCCATGGAAATGCAGTTCTCCCGCTCCCCTTGGCCAGCGCACCATCCTCTCCTGCCCTCAGATCTTGATGCTCCTGGGTCTCCAGATTCTAGACTCAGCCTGGGACTTGCAGCATGGACCTCTCACCCTCCACCGCTCACACTATGTAATGAAAGCCTTTGGACACAGCCCAAACCACACCACACTCTTCCTTGCTTCTCCAGCAGGCAGTGGGCCGACCATGGAGCTCGAGGCTCCCTTACTTCATGCGCCAATTTGTATAAGACGTCTCGTCCTGCACGTAGCTGCATGCATCCTACTGGCGTGGCTAGCCTGGAGGACCCTGAGTGATGCACAAGTGCTGGAAGCCTATCGTGAGAATCCTAGCACTGGTCGAGTCCTGCCCTCTATCAGAAGAAGAGCACGCACACTTGGCTTTAGACTGTCCACTCTGACTCTACATGAGGGTAGTCTGCAAGGTAATGGGCCACACACCCTCCCCATGGAGTCCCCCAAATTCTCTGCTCAGATACTCCTGAGCTGCTTGGGCCTCTTTTCTTTCTTTCTGAGAGAGGATCTTTTCTTTTCTTTTCTTTTTTCTTTTCTTTCTTTCTGAGAGAGGATCTTGCTAGACAGTTCAGGCTGGCCTTGAGCTCATTTTGTAGCCCAGGCTGGTCTCGAACTTGCAACAATCCCATTTGCCTCAGCCTCCTGAGTGCTGGGATTACAGGCGTGCACCTCCACACCCAGCTATTACTTGGACCTCTTGTCCAGGTCTCTCCTGCAGAGAGTGGAGCAGTTACACACCTGCAGGCTGGAAGGATGGCCAGCCGATGTTTGAGGAAGTGTGATGTGACTACAGACTGGGGTGTCCACGTTCATGTGCAAGAGACACTTGTGATTTGGATCAAATCACAAGCTGGCGGCTGATCTCACCCTGCAGCCAGGTCCTAAAGCAGAGCTCCGAGGGGCCAGAGAGATCTCAGCGCAAACCCATACTTTGAGGTAGGATGATCAGGACATGTTTTGTTTCAGTTTTCCAGCTTGGGTTATAGCTTTCTAATATTTGCATGTGGAATAGCTGAGTCTGCATTAGGGCCTCACAAATACTCAGGGGAAGCCTGAGCAGAGACTGGGAGAAAGGCTGTGGCATGGGCGTCCCCAGTCGCCATGTTCCTGTGGCACAGGTGCACCCCGCTTTCTCTTGGTGTGGGCTTTTAAGTTAATAAAGTAAACCTTTTCCCCCAAGCCCATCTTAATTGGTGTCCTGTTGGTCAGTACCTAACATTGGTTGTAGGTGCTGGAGAGGGACGCTTACCCCGGGCTCAAGCTCTGTGGCTGCTCCACACCAGCTGCCTCACCATCTCCCCAGCGACAGACCAAGCAGACCTGGTACATGGACAACCAGGCAGAAAAGGGCCACAGTCCAGAGAGAGTGTTTTTACCTACCTGACCCCTAAAAACACCTGCAGGAGAGTACAGATTCCAGAGACGAAGAAGATGGTGCCGATGAGGTAGCTCTGGGTCAGGGGGTCATGCTGCAGGCACAGGTCCTTGGCCAGGATGAGCGGCACCGCCACAAGTCCCCCCAGGGCTGTGAGGAAGTGCTGTGGGCAGAGTGGGCAGGAGATGGGCATGGGCTGCTGCCGCCATCCCTCACTCCCCTAAGCAGGAGTGCAGCCCAGGCAGCCCAGTCCTTGGTGGGGACCCTGCCCAGGGTCAGGGGTAAGAGCTCTGAGTCTGGTCTGGTAAGGGCTTGCGGGAATGGCAGGTGAAGACAAGCTGTCCAGACCAGACATCCAGATCAGGGAGAACCAGAAGTAAGAAGCAGGGCCCAGCTGGAGCCTCTGGAATGCAGGCTGGGCCCTGACACCAGAATGACTGGCTTAGAGGAGAAACCAAGGCAAGCACAGGGGGCATAGCAGAAAATGGGGCCTTCAGAGCAGGAGCAGGGCAAGACACTCGGGATGACACAGGGCGTGTGGCAGGAGGGAGACCTGAACACTAACTTGGGGCTGTTAGTGTTCCAAGGGCCACTGGCACTGCCCTGGATGGAACAGAGTTCAGAGCAGGGTAGAAAGTCACAGCAGGCAGCATCACCTGTACAGAGAATGAACTAGATACAGGTGACAGGTAGATGATAGGTGGATAGGATAATGATAGGTGAATAGATAGATAGATAGATAGATAGATAGATAGATAGATAGACAGAGACAGACAGACAGACAGGCAGGCAGATAGATGGATAGACAGATGACAGAGATGATAGATAGATAGATAGATAGATAGATAGATAGATAGATAGATAGATAGATAAGCAGATGATAGAGATAGATAGACAGACAGATAGATAGATAGATGGATAGATAGGCAGATGATAGATAGATAGATAGATAGATAGATAGATAGATAGATAGATAGACAGATAGATAGATGGATAGATAAGCAGATGATAGAGATAGACAGACAGACAGATAGATAGACAGGCAGACAGATAGATGGATAGATAGGCAGATGATAGATAGATAGATAGATAGATAGATAGATAGATAGATGATAGATAGATAGATAGGCAGATAGATAGGTAGATAGGAAGATGATAGATAGGCAGATAGATGGATGGATAGATAGATAGATAGATAGACAGACAGACAAACAGACAGATAGGAGGGCCAACCAGTCCAGGCCAATCAGGAATGGGCCACTATCTCACATCCTCTAGCTCAGAGCAGAAGGGTTGACCAGGCCTGAACCAAACTTTCTGAGAAGAAAGGCTTGTGAGTCTGCCTGCTTCTCTCCTTTCCTCCAATCCAGCCTGCTGTCTGATAACTTAGATCCAGGGCATTTGGTGAAAGCTGAATCAGCTGTAATCAGAAGTTACAGCTGGCAGGGGCTGCTTCAGTGAAGGTGCTTGACCTACTACCTCTCTGGCCTCCCAAGGGCCTTGCCCAAGTGAAGACGACCTTTCTCCAGCCCATTCAAGAGAACAAGCACTGAGTCAGACCAGCATGGGGAAGAATCCTTTCCCACATGCCCATCCCCATCCCCTAGAGAGGCAGAAACTGAAGGGTCCTGAGTCCCCCCAGAGGTCAACAGCAAGGAAGCTGCACCAGCACCTGAGGTTGGTAATGACTAGCTTGGTCAGGCTGTGCATTGGTAGAGCTCTGAAGGCAGAGCCTCCTTGGCCTGAGTGCCTGCTGGGTGACCTTACCTGGATCCCAAAAAAGATGCAGAGATACCACGGAGGGACATCCAAGATGCCATAGGCCAGGTGGCTGCTGCTGTTGCTGCTGCTGCTGCTGCTGCTGCTGGGAGTCTCAGGCTGCTGGTCCTTCTTCCTGCTGTGGCTGTCAGCATCAGGGTTGAGCACTCCTTCATCCCTCTGCTGAGAACAAGAGAAAGCCCACAGGTCAGCCTTCCAGAGACTAGAGCCTTCCAGAGACAAGAGCAGGTAGTGTTGCGAAACCAGGAGCCAGCCAGAGTTTACTGTCCAGACCCAAGTGACTTCCTGAGGTTTGCATCTGCAGCTGGGCCTCTGTGTCAAGTACAGACCATGCAAGGGCCTTACTCAGATCGCAGCAGAGAGGCAGCTTTGCAGGAAGTATAAAAGGCCAGCCTCAAGGCTGGGAGACAGGCAGGTTTCCCTCAAGCTTCCAGGAAATTGTGTTTATTCCAGCCAAGGTCCTCTGACAATAAAGTTTCTACAATGGATAGTTCCCTTCTCCATTTCTTCTCCTAGCTAGTTTCAGAATGCTTTGATTGTGCCTAACTTTATTTGTCATCTCAGCTTCCAGCGCTGTCCTTGCGCTCACTGTAGATGAAGGCAGGAAGGAAATATACACCACACTCATAGAATATTCTAGAGCAGTGGTGAATCGTTCAGAGACAAGTTTTAGAATGACAAATAAATGTACAATTGTTTACATAACAGAAAAGGCTAAGCAGAAAGTAAATTTCAATATGTCAGTATAAAGGCTGTACTTTATGTAGACTTAATGTGAGATACGTACCTTCATATACAGAAATCTGTATGTTTCCTTCATACATTAAACTATTAATAAGCATCAAAAAAAAGTAGAGACAAGTGTTCAAAGTGCAGCTCAAACTCCACTTATTTCCAAAGTGGCAGCCCCGGGGCTGGTGAGATGGCTCAGTGGTCTAAAGCACCTACTTAGAACAAGCTTAGCAAAGCACAGGGACCGCGGTTCAATCCCCCAGCCCCACATGCCAGCCAGCCCCGCCCCCTGGTGGGCTGAGCTGGCCACACACACACACACACACACACACACACACAAATAAATAAAGATATTTAAAAAAAAAACAAAAAAAAAACAAAGTGTCAGCCCTGCAATTCAACCTGAATACTGAGGTTTTCCTTTAGGAAAATTAACTCATACGTTAGTATTTTTTTGTCTTACAAAGAAAACAAACAACATGTGTGTCATAGTCTAGTTAACAGCCAACTTACATTCCAACTAGTTTACTGTGAATGTTTTCCAGCCAAAATTTGCAGTGAATCATAGACGCTCCTCCCAACTTTTGGCTGTACAGCTTGCTAACTGGGCAAATTAATGATGTTTCTAAATCTGAGAGTTTGGATTTTGGGGGCTTGGGAGGTTTTGTCTGTTTTTGAGATAGGGTCTCACTCTGTAGTTCAGACTGCTCTTGAACTCACTTGGCATCCCAGGCTACCTTTGAATTCACAGCAGTCCTCCTGCCTCAGCCTCCCTGGTGCTGGGACTATCGGCATGCACTACCATGCCCAGCTTTCAGTTTTCTTACTTATATAGCATGCTTCTCTGAAAATAAGACCTATCTGGAAAATAATCAGTCTTGAAAACTAGAGATGACAAATGCCAGCCTCACAGCATATCCTTGCCTCACCTGCCACCACTGTCCTCTTGCTCGGCGGCTGCGCTGCAAGGGGGCAGGCCATGCACAGCGACATAGCCCAGGCGAAGCTGGTGCCAGGTAGGATGGCGAAGCCGTGCATTCCACACCTACCTCCAGTGTGAAGAACAGCTTCTGCCCAGGGACACTCGGGGACACTCTGGGGTAGATGGGTAGTACCCACACTCCATAAGCACCTTCCTCCAGAAACAATATCTGAGACTATTTGTGGACTTCAGTGCAATAGAGATCAGCACATTCAAACATGTCCTCTGACGGGCTGAGGATGCAGCCTCGCGGAGTGTTTACATAGCGCACATAAGCCCTGGCTTCCCTCTCTTCCACTACACACAAAGTTTTGTTGTTTGGCCTTAAAGTAGATTCTCCTCTCCAATTTTATTTTATTTTATTTTATTTATTTTTAATGTGTTTAGTACAGGGTCTACAGGGTCTCACTACACAGATCGAACTCATAGTGATCCTCCCAAGTGCCTCCCAAGTGCTGGGATTACAGGCGCGTGCCACCATGCCCAGTCTCAGTTGCCACCTCAGCACGCCCCAGGGGCAGAACCAACATGGCACTCCAGGATCAAACCCTGGTCCCTGTGTCTGCCTAAGCAGGCACTCTAGTCTGCTGATCTATGTGGCCGGCCCTTCCTCTCCATTTTTAAAATAAATGACAATATGTTAGTCTTAAAGTGTGACTACTCTGCCTCTACTCTAATGAATTAGAGGAGTGGGAGAAGAGATGGGGTGAGGGTTGGCACTTTCTGAGGTGTGGAAAGAGGCAAGAAAGCCACAAGAGCAAGAATGGGGTGACAAGCTGGGCATGGTGGTGCTCTGGGAGGCTGAGGTAGGAGGACTTAGCTCAGTGCCTGAGTGAATGGCTACCTCAGAATAGAAAAACACCAAAAGGGCTAGGAAGGTAGCTTAGTGTGAAGGTCCTGAGTTCCACCACCATCGTAATAGAAGCGATGATGACGAGGGGTCACAACCCACCTCCAGGACAGTGCTGTCCCTGCAGAATGTCACACAGCAGCCCTCCCCCACCCAAGGCTTCACTTTTCCAGGCTTCCATTGCACAGTCCAGGCATCCCCCAGGACTCTTGGGTCACATTCCCCGCAGACAGGGGTCTGCTGTTTCCTGTAACATGGTGCCTTCGCCTGCACCTTGTGTGATGGGCTGGATGGTTTTTGGCTGTGCTCTGTATACGTAGCAGGGGCCAGGCAGGGCCTGTGCTCTGCGCGGCTGTTCAGTCACACTCCCGCCCTGTGTGTTCACCAGATCCTGGAGCACCCCTTCCTCCTTTCTGTTTGCAACAATCCAAAATGTCTGCAGACATCACTAAATGATGCAGGGGTCAAATCACCCCTGCTTAAGCAAGCATCCTAGTGAGAGCATGAACCTGGTTCTCAAAGGAAGCCCTGCGGGGGTTAGGGAGAGGCACACCATGCCCTACATGGAGGGGGAGGGAGCCAGCCCTCCCCTCCCCCCTCCACGGGCATCAACCACTCCTAATCCTTCCTGCCACGAGCCTGAGGCTTCCACTCTTGGCATGGAAAATGCCAGGATAGCAAACCACTGAGAGCCAGGGATCAGGGCCAGGGTTGCCAACAGGAGACCACTGAGCTGGCCTCAGCTCAGCTCTGTGGTCATTTTGTCCTCATTAGGGAGCAGCATTTGTTTCTTAATCTTGCGTTAGGTCCTAAAACATAGCTGTAGTTGGGCAGGGGGGCATACACCTGGGATCCCAGCACTGGGAGGCTGAGCCAGGAGGACTGCAAGTTGCAGTACAGCTTGGCCAAGTTAGCAACCTGAAAAGACCCTGCCTCAAATTTCTTTTTAAAGTCATCAATAAAAAGGGATTGAGATGTAGATTAGTGTGCAAGCTCTAAGTGTCAACCCTCAAAACCTAAAAATCAATCAATCAATCGATCAATCCTACACAGATGTAGGAGACTTGCTTCACTCCTCTACCTAGCAATCACTCACCTCTCTGGAAGCCTGCACTGGCCAGCCTCACCTGACCCTCAGACTGGAGTGGCCTCCCCTCCCTGTGGCTCCCCAGCACAGAAGCAGGTTCACCACGGCTAGAGATGACACACTGTCATCAGCTGCGTCCCCATCCTGAAGTCCTGTATCTTCTCCACCTCCACCCTCGTGCTCACTGAGATGGTGACATCTGTGAATGAATGCTGAGTAAATGGCCACAGGACCTCTAATTATGTTTGAAATAAATCCCTTGCTCTAACTGACTGGAACTCTTGTGAAACCGCAAGCTTATGCTGTTTCAACTTCTGAGCAAGGGCTAGCCAGATAGCTCAGGGGACTGAAGCACCCATTTGTACAGACACAGGGACCGGGCTTCAATCTTTGGAGTGCAGTGCCGGCCCCAGCCCTGAGGCATGCCGAGACGGTGACTGGAGCCTGGGCATGGTGGCGCATGCCTGTAATCCCACTGCTTGGGAGGCCGAAAGCAGGAGGATCACTAAGAGTCTTATCTGTGTAGTTAGACACTGTACTAAATACATACATACATACACATACATACATACATACATACATACATACATACAAAACTGAGCAGAATGCACAGGAAAATTTACTTTTCCCTAAAGGGCCTAGAACTGGGTCCAAGACAGACAGGGAGCTTCAGGGGGCAGCGCTGGGCTTCTGACCATCATGTGATGGTTTTTGTGCATGTATGGAGAAATTTGTGTGGTGCCTCAGAGAAAGACACAGAAATAGGAGAGGGAAAAGGAGACCAAGGATGATGGACGGATGGATGGATGGATTCTGAGCCAGCAATTCTGAAAAGCTCATGCAGAGAAAAGGGCAGTGACCACAGCTCGGTGACCCTGCACACTTGACAGCACCTCCCCCAGCCTCAGTCTCACGTCTAGGGTCTGTCTGGGATGACCATAGGGAACTCACAGTCAGAGCACATGTGACATGGTACATTGGGACTGTGTATGTGTCTGTACATGCGCATGTGTGCATGAGTGTGACCCTAGGCCTGTGGCCCCAGCAGCTGCGTGTGTGGCCCACCTGTGAAATCATCCTTCATCCAGGATCTCTTGGCACCAGGAGTAGGAAGAGTGCTGGCTCTGAGTTGCTCATTTCTGGGCAGAGTGTAGACCAGTGTCCAAGGCTGCTGCTGGCCGGGGACCTCTGAGGCCCCCCAGATTCTGTCTTTCCCTCAACATGGCCATCTGATGGCAACATGCCCCACTTCAGCATCTGTTTCAGTAATGTTGTCTGGAAAATTGATCCTGCCTCATGCCCCATATGAAAAATAAGTTATGCCGGGCATGGTAGCTCACACCCGGAATCCCAGTACTTGGGAGGCAGAGGCAAGAAAACTGTTGAGAGTTTGAGAACAGCCTGCACTACAAAGTAAGGCTCAAGGCCAGCCTGAACTGCATAGCAAGACTCTGTCTCAAAAAGACCAAAAAAAAAAAAAAAAAAAATTTCATTAAAAAAAAAAAGTTACCATTTGGTGCTAGGAATACTTGTCATCCCCAAGGACAGCTAGTTCTTCCCTGTGACGTCTGTATGTTGATGGAGACCACTACAAAGTGGCCCTGAGCGGGACTTAACATTAACCAAATGGCTTTTCATCTTTACTTGTGAGTCTGGCTAAGGCCACTTAGATGGGCAGCAGACTCTCAGTAACTGAACCTCTCTGAGTCACCAGTCCCGACTGAGGTCTACAATGGTACGTGAAACCGGGATGCCTCAAAAGACCAGACAGGGTCACAGCTACGGACTCCTGGCTTCAACCTCAACTAGGTAGATAAAGACTAGCTGCAGGCTTCTCCTTCCTGGGTAGAGACCTCCCCGGAGAGAAATTAACATCACGTCTTACTTGAGAAGTCCTTGAGAGGCTCCTGCCTTTCTGTAGTATTCCCCTCTCTTGGTTTGATAACTAAATAAATACAGGCTGCCCAGAGAAGACCTTTATCTTAGCCCCCAGAGAATCTCAAATTCTGTTAGAGGGTTTTGATCCTCTTGGAGCCCTAAACTCATACCACTGGACTAATTTACTTAAGCCTTTGCTATGCACGCATTTGGGACATTGTGGGTCTGATCAGTTTCCAATAGCTAAGGGATAGTATTAATGCATTACTGTGTCACTTCCCTGAAGCCATTGGCCAGGGCAGATAGAAAGTATAGAACCGAAGGTGACACTCAGGACATCTCAAGTTATCCATGCCAACATGGGAGGCACAGGAACAAAGCAGCTGGGACACAGTGCATGCAGAGTCCTGTGTGTCCACTGGGAATCGGGGATACTGAAGACACCCACTGTAAGAACAGGAGCATGGGGCTTGGGGTCGGGGCAGGACAGCCCGTCCAGGGACTCGTCAGAATAGGGGAAAGCCCCTGCCTGGGAGTCACTGTGTGACTCATCCAGTGGCAAAAGAAGGTTTCCAAGGCCATCCCAGGAGGGGATTTCCTGACACACTACCCTGATCACTGTAAGATGACAGAGATGCTGGGGAGACAGCTCAGTGGTCTAAGCACCTGCCTGGCAAGTGCAAGGACCCAGCTTAGATTCCCAATGCTGCATGTTATGCCCACCCCAGAACCCCAGGCATGCCGTGTTGGGCACCAAAACTGAGCATGATGGCACACGCCTATAATCCCAGCGCTGGGAAGGCTGAGACAGGAGGATCACTATGAGTCCAACCTGCATAACGAGACTACATACCATAAAAGATTTCCCATATGCAGCAGTGGGCATGGCAACCACAGAAGTTCTCCATTCAGTCCTCCCTGCTACTTTTAAACGGCCAAGAAGGCTGAAGAGAGACGGGGCCCAGGAGCTTGCAGCTGCAGAGGCTGCCGGGAAGGCTCCCAGGACTTGGCTTCTCCAGGGTTAGTTTCTGTGAGACAGAAACAAATGCCTGTTGCAGTTGTTTATAAGGAAGAAATTCAAGCTCACAGAGTGCATCAGACCTCTGGACTATGTGACAAAGTCTCTCCTCTCTCGCTCCGCTTCCTTCAATCCTTCCTTTCCTTGAATTCAGACAGGATTTCAGAAAAGAGAAAACCTGGTGCTGAGATAGTTTCCTCCAGTGTGATGTCAGTGCCTGGCTCATGTTGTGCCCTCTACCTCTTCAAACCCCACCCTCAAAAAGGAGATAGATAGGTGCCTGACCTACCTCCCACCCCTGGCTTGCCTCAGGGATGCCCCAAATGTGGACAGCACAGCCTTTGGGAAATGAAGTCTCTGACTTCTTTCCCTAGACTTTTAGCCTCTCAGCAAGTAGCAGGCAGTTTTGAGGTGAGGGCAAGAGAGGTGGTTTTCTCTCAGTGCCCCTCAGCTTCCTCAGTAGGGAACGCCAGGCACCCTGCAGGAGGCTGAGCGGCAGTGGGCAGGACCTGCAGCTGGCACCCGGGTGGACTCTGACAGCCAGCCCAGCTTAGTGGTGGCCCTGCCCCCAGAGCTGTGGCCTGGCCAGACAGGCTCTGTGCCCCAACAATGGGCATGGTAACCACAGAAGTTCTCCATTCAGACCTCCCTGCTACTTTTAAATGGCCAAGAAGGCTGGAGAGAGACGGGGCCCAGGAGCTTGCAGCTGCAGAGGCTGCCGGGAAGGCTCCCAGGACTTGGCTTCTCAGGGTTAGTTTCTGTGAAACAGGAACAAGTGCCTGCTGCAGTTGTTTATAAGGAAGAAATTCAAGCTCACAGAGTGCGTCAGACCTCTGGACTATGTGACAAAGTCTCTCCTCTCTCGCTCCGCTTCCTTCGATCCTTCCTTTCCTTGGATTCAGACAGGATTTCAGAAAAGAGAAAACCTGGTGCTCAGGAACCTGGAAAACGACCCCCGGGTTGAGCAGAGCCCACTCTGAGCAAAGGTGAGGAGACTGGCCCGCACCACCAGCCCTGCCAGGAAGCCAGCCTCTCCTCTTCTGGCCTTTGTGGGTGTCACAGTGAGGGCAAATCCTGGGCCAGATATGACAGTGACCAGAGGAATGGCCCCGAAGGAGAGGAGGAGGCTGGCGAAAGGAGGGTGCTGCCACTCCTGCCTGAGGATCTGGACCTCATCAAAAGGTTGAGCTCAAGGTCCTGAGTTCGATTCCCAGAACCAAGTCAATAAATAAAGGCCGAGCTGCTCGTCAGGCTCTGGGGCAGGAGGACACCACCCCAGGCCTCCCCGCTGCCTTCCTGTCCTGTTCCCCCCACCAGCACTCACCACGCAGCTGGGGAGCTCGCCGCTGGGGATGGCAGAGTTCATGGCAGTGGGATTCTTCCCTTCTGGTAGGAGCAGGACAGAGAATGCCTCTCTGGAAAGAGGCAGGACTGACTGCTTCAGGAGAGTGAGCTTAACTTCTCAGTCCCTGACTCAGTGCGGAGGCGGAGGCAGCAGGCAAGCAAGAGGCGGCGGCAGGTCCTATCCGCCTGCCAGACCTGCGACAAGGGCCTCCCCGCAGCCTCCTCAGCTGCCACGGGACCAATATGCACTCTGCGGCCGCAGATATTTCATAATTTGATAAGTTGTGGGCCTCGTGGTAGCCAGGAAGCAAGTCAGAGTACGGCCCATCAGGGTGTGGCCTGGGAGCACTTTCAGGAAACCAGGTTTCCGGGGAAGCTGCAAAGCTGGGGCTCAAGGAGGGGCTTCTGTTTGCTACCCTGCAAACTGGGTAGAAAGCCTGCCCAGCCCAGAAAGCAACGCAGTGGCAGATGGGGAATGTGGGCCAGGACCTCTAATTACTCCTTGCCCCAGGAGCCGCTGCTGCAGCTGCTGGGTGGGGTCTGAGGCCTCACAAGGCTCAAGTGAGAGCCTGAGGGAGGGAAATGCTTCTAATTCTCCACAGCCTCTCTCCACAAGGCTCAGAACCGGCTGCTCCACCTTTCAGGGAGAGAAGACTAGCCCTGCCTGATTTTGGTCTTGTACTTTTCACAGGGTACCTGAAAGGTAAACTCCATTCCATGAAATCCATACAAGCTATGTGACAGCTACTGATGATGGTAGAATATTCTGGAATAGGTAGCGCTGGCTCTCAAGGTACAGGAAACACAATAGCAGGAACCACAGAAATGACAATGAGTACTAGTCCAAGAGGAAGCCCTGAAAACACAACAAAGAGATTAACAGGTCTGTAACCTGTCCTCCCTTGCCCCCACTAGCCAAGTTCCTGGAATTGGCCGTGGCTGGCCTCCTGAACCTGGGAACAAGGCCCACTGTGCAGGGCATACCATCCTGCCTGCTAGGTCACCCACAGTACAACATTAGCAGTTGCTGGGACATTCAGCCATTCTCACTGCCCCAAACTCACACCCCGCTTCACCTCACCCTACCCAGCCACTAATCCCCACACCAACTGTATGTGTAAAAGACCCAGCTCAAAGGGTCCAGGGAGATGGCTAGGTGGAATAAGCACTTCCCTGGCAAGCTCAAGGGCCTGAGTTCAATCATTGAAAAAAAATAAAAAATAAAAAAAATAAAATAAAAAAGGGCTGGCGAGATGGCTCAGTGGTCTAAAGCACCTACTTGGAACAAGCTTGGGAAAGCACAGGGACCACGGTTCGATCCCCCAGCACCACATGCCAGCCAGCCCCGCCCCCTGGTGGGCTGAGCTGGCCATACACACACATACACACACACACACACACACACACACACAAAAAATAAATGTTTAAAAAAAAATTAAAAAAAAAAAAAAAAGACCCAGCTCAATAAATGGGATTCGGACTTGTCTTTGAAGTTCCTCCAGGAGGAGCCTCCTGGAACTTCTCAATTCAGGCTGGCTGTGTGCTTTCCTGGGCTGTTGTACTTTTTACTAACAGAGATGTTTGCAGAGAAAGGAGAGAGACCTGACTTGGGCTGCGACAAAAAATAAGAAGAGCTATACCTTGGTGGGCATTATTTCTGTGCATCATTTATTTAATCTTGATGACAAGCCAAACATTCCCATCTTTATTTTACACATTAAGAAATGTAAGAAAAAGAAAAAAAAAAAAAGAAAGAAATGTAAGGACTGGTACATTGGGGGCAGTTCTTTGCCCAAGGTTCGTGCTAAATGCAGAGTGAAACCCAGAGAGTCTCATTCCACAGCCCAAAGGGCCAGGCACTTGGGGAACAAAGAGGCACGTGCTCAGGATCTGAGGATGGATAGCATTATGGCTTATGTTTAGATGTCCCCTCTAAGGCTCATGTGGTCATGGGTGCGGCTTTTTCAGAGGTGGCTGGAGCCGGATTGTGTGACACCAGGACTGACTCATACTGCAGCGCTAGGCTCAAGCGTACTAGGATTAGGGATGTGAGTGCTACCTTCCCTGAGTGTTAGGTTTGTCTGCGGTGGCAGAGAAGCAGAAGTAAAAGAAAGGGAAGGAAAGATCTTTACTGAGGACATTGGAGAGGACCAAAGGCAGGGAGAGGGGGGATCCTCTGACCTGAGATGAGATTTTACAGACTTTTGCTAGGGGCAGAGTTGGAGGGGCAGGTTCAGTGACACATAAGAAGGGGTGTGTGTGTGTGTGTGTGTGTGTGTGTGTGTGTGGCGTGAGGAGGTATCCAGGACAGGGGTGGGGAAGGAGGAAGTGGTCAATGGGAAGACAAACTGTTGTTTTGGGGATTCAGCCATGTTGGATCAGGGCCAAGATAATTCAGCAATTTGTATTCAGGCTGGACCATCACTAAGTAGCCTGGATTAAAGGGGAAGAAAGACACTGTTAAGGTCCCCTTGTTGTTTGCTACTTTCTTCCCACCATCTACTATTGCCCCTCTGCCACGTACCACCCTGCTTTGGAGCCCCAAAATAGGAACTGAACTTCGGGAACCATCAGCCAAATAAGCCTCTGCTCCTTTAGCTTTGGGTATCAGGTATTTTGTCTCAGCAGTGGAAGAAAGTAACTAAGGTGAGCGGAGGACTGGGCTCTAGGAGAGATGGTCCAGGAGCTGCAGGTCTAGATCTGGGAAGTGTTGACCTCCCAACCCCAGTGGTGCCAGATTCAGTTTAGCTCCAAGAAAAGCCTGAAGCCCTAGGGTTTCAAGAGGGCCAGAACCCTTGTAGCTATTGAGTTTCCAGAAAATACTAAGTGTACAGTTTCCCTGGCTGGGTGAGTGACCAGGCAAGGGTGAAAGCAGGGGATGACACCTGCCAGGTATCCACAGTGTGAGGCTGTAGTATCACCGCCCAGGAAGGCCTGGCAAGCCTGGTCCAAGGGGGAGCGCATGGCTGGGCCCACAACAACGCCACTGTTCCTTATTGAACATGGAAGAAGAGGATTTCTCTAAGACACTGTCCTCCCCACACTTAGTGTGTCCTTCTTAGCTGTCCTCATTGCCTACTGTTTAGGTGCACGGTTAAATTGCCCTGCAGTGTAAGGCCAATAAGGGCAAGGTTAGCAATGCGCAATCGAAGTTAGTCATAAAGACAGCCTCCCTTACTCACTTTGGTTACCGGTACAGTGTTCCGGAACCTTCCCTCTTCACCCTCAACTCATCTCTTTTGGGTCTGTCGCCCTATCTCACATCTTTTTTAAATATACTTAGTACAGGGTCTACAGGGTCTCACTACACAGATCGGACTTGTAGTGATCCTCCTGTTTTCAGCCTCCCAAGTGCTGGGATTACAGGCGCACGCCACCACACTCAGTCTCATTCACCATCTCAGTATTGCAAGCAGTTAAGTTAGATAGAAATATTATAGGCAGTCAGACAGAGCCAGGCCCTCAAAGAGACAGCACGAAAGATAAGATAACTTACAACTGTGAGAGAGATGGATGACCCCTCTGTATGTCGAACTTAAAGACCAAAATTCAAACAATTGTTGACCTCCCTAAAGATTAGCATCTGGAACTGATCATCACCCTGAGAAACCCTAAAAGAATCATTAATCCAACTACTACCGGCTAGCTATTGGACACAGTCCTACTCTATATTTATGCGTGCTTGCTATGTGACTCGCTTCCCCATTTGGTCCTGGACGTCATCAATTTTACCTGAGCAATGGTGCTTGTAATCTCATTGGTTGACCATAGTTTTGTCCCACCTCCTGCCCACCTAAACAATTTCCCATGTTCTCCACCTTAGACCATCATGGTTTTACTCTATATAAATCCCTGGAAGAGACAGCTTCCCGGGGACCACCCACTCGGGGCTCCCCTCCTGTCCCTCTCTCAGACAGAAGCTTTCCTTCCCCCAATAAATATTCTACTCTCAACCTCCGTTTGTTCCTAAAATTCGTTCTTCGGTTTTAGAGAACACAAACTCGTCCAGGCCAGATGGAGAATTTCACTTCCACTCTATCATCAGTGCGCCCCACGGGTGGAGCCTGCATGCATTCAGGGGATCAAACCCCGGTCCCTGCATCTGCCTAAGCAGGCGCTTCAATCCGCTGAGCTATTGGGCAGACCCTCACATCTTCTTTATATGAATATTGTCTGCATGGCTGTGATTACCCAGCTCAGACAAGGAGCCAAGCTGGTGGCCCTCCTTTCCCTCCCTCCTCCGCCTCCTGGAAGTCCTCTCCACAGAGCATGATCTCTCCACTGGCAGCCTTCTCTGGCTTCTGCCACCATCTCTTGTCCTAAAGCTGCTGTGGCCCTCTGTGAGCATTCCATCTCTGTGACCAAGCATCTGAGATAATCGACTTATTGGAGGACAGAGTGACGCTGGCTCATGGATTCACAGGCTTCAGCCCACGGGGAGCAGGTTCTGTGGCACTGGGGCTGTGGAGAGGCAGTACCTCATGGCAGGGAGCACAGGGCAGAAGAAACAGCTCACCTCACAGTGACAAGGAGGGAGACAGAGGAGGAAGGTTGGATTGGTGTTCAGGGTAGGCCCCCAGTGGCCTATGTTCTTCAAGGTTCTACCTCCGAAAGGTTCCACTACACCTCAGCAGCACCACAGGCTGCTGACCAAGACTTTAGCATGTAGGCCTTTGGGGGACCTGACAGTGTTTTTGTTTTGTTTCATTTTTGGTGCAGAGGACTAGACCCAGGGCTTCCAGCTTGCTAGGCAAATGTTCTACCGCTGAGTTAAATCTCCAGTCCCGGGACCTAACATTTAAAATCCAGACCACATAAGGTCCCCACAATATTCCCACAGCCTCAGCCGCCCCAGCTGGGGGCCTTCCCCTATTGCCTGGCTGGAATTTTCTACAACTTGTTACACATTTCTGCCACACTAGTGTGTGTGTGTGCAAAAGATAAGAATCCGTCAGGACTGTGGCTGGAGGTGAAGCTGAAGATTGAAGTGACAAGGGCTAGAGTCATATACTTCCCTGAGGGGTGCACAGAGGCTGGGCGCTATTGGTGCCACCCTTCTGAGATTTCCCTTAATGAGCCTTATGTTGCAAGTTAAAGAAATCTCATTCTAGTAGTGAGCTCAAGTAATAAGAATATTCTCTTTGAACAGTACGAGCTCTCTCTAGGAGCCCATTATCTTTCCTCAAACACCTGAAGAAATCAAAGTATTTCCATTCCTTTTTATATATGCAATAGACTGAATATGTCAGCTTCCTGTCACTGTGATAAAATACC